TAAATAACTCCAAATAAGCGCGAATTTTTAAAAAAAAATCATCGATTGCTTCAAAGTGAGCCGTGTTTGAAAGATTTTACCTTAAACGCGGGAAAAAAACATCGGTGTTTCATGCGGTACTTCGTAGCCTTAAATTATTAGAAAGCTAAGTATAATATTTTTTACGTATTAATTTAGTATTTTCGTATTAATTTAGATCAAAATAGACCTAAATTAATACGAAATAATAAAAAGTATAATAAAAAAACTTTAAATGAAAATTCTATGCAAAAAACGAGCAGACTATTTCACAAACTTTTTTAAAATGATAAATAATATTAAAAAACCCTATTTATTTTATACTGGGAATTTATCATTCCGTATCAAGACATCCGTGAACTAAGTATTGAATAAAATGCATAGCCATAACATGATCTGGTATTTACGGAATTTAAATTCGAAAGAGGTTGTAGCACTTGAAAATACCTAATTATCCATAAAATGCCTACCTCCTTTTTCCATAAATATATATATTACGTTACAGCAAAATTTTGCATTTCTGCAACATTAGTTTTAAATTAGTTAAACTCATACCTCCAACTACTACGGAATTTGCGTATTTTTAAAAACTATTTTTCTTAATGGCAATCTAGATAATGAAAAGTAATAATTTTTACTAAATTGAAAGAGTTTTGCCTACCCCCACATATAAATAATTTAAACAAACACAGTAATAATCAGAAGAGGATGGTTTGATTCTTAAGTTGTAATAAGAGTTTTATTTGTTTTGCAATTTTTTTCATTTTATTCAACACTCCTTAAAAATATACTTCGTTAAAACATCAAACGTTAGAAGGTATGGTTAAGAGAGTAGCGACTAAATTCCGTTATTTCTTTCCAGCTGAACACAGCATTATCTTATAAAGCTCTTTTTGTTGTAGTCTTAGGCCATTAAGACAAGGGTTGCGATTGTTCTTGTTTTCCAATGGCGCCATCTATGGCAAAGAATCAACTTCTGCCACACCCGTACGTCATATCCGTTAATAGACCCATTCATTCATCCACAGATTGTGATTTTGATCTGAACCAAAGAACGATTAATCACCAATTCAGTATCCCCAGAAGTATAAATTGTTATGGGAGCATGGAGGACTTAATGACTCGACAGATTTAACGTGCACCAGTCACCATTTATTATACGGGGAGTCGTCGGTCGATTGGATTCAGACTCCCGTCCTCACTAATGTTAGTCCAGCACCCTGCGAACCAGGCTATCCCGGTCCCAATAAATTTCTTGATATATTTACACTGGCGTGCAAAACTTAAGCAACAAGTGGTTTTTCGGCAACAGCTCCCCAACGAAGTCTTGATAGTCTTGAAATTGCAGTATAATATGCACGTAATTCAGTAAAAAGATTATTTGTATGCAAATTTTAGAAATAAAATGTTGTAGGTGATGTAAGTGTACGCAAACCTTGTGGGTCGGCGTGCGCAGGTCAAAGCTGTGATAAAAGGATGAAGAGCACCGTAGTTAAAGGCATTCGCTGCAAGTGCAAGTGATTTGTTTTGTGAAACAAGAAATCATTTAGACGACTTTACTCGAAGAAGAATGATTGGGAAGCTTGAGGAGGGGCGTAGTGGGACCAGTGTCGCCGAAGAGTTCGGGATCAACAAAAGTGTTGATTCTCGTGCTTGGAAAGCCTTTAAAACTACTGGTACAGCTGTTCAGAAGGTTGGTGGTGGACGTCCAAGGAAAACAACACCAAGAGATGATCGTTACATTGTCCTCCAGGCGAAAAGAAACCGTTTTCAGTCAGCGAGCGTATCTCAGCAACTGTGCACAGCCACAGAACGACAAGTATCAAGATTTACAGTGGCCAGAGGCCTCCACAAAGGTGGCTTATTTGCTAGACGTCCTGAACGCTGCATACCTTTATAAGTTAGGCATCGGCGGCACCGTTTCGAGTGGTGCAGAGAAGAAGAAACCTAGACACCTCATCAATGGAGTCGCGTCCTCTTCACAGATGAGAGTCGTTTTAGTGCTACAAGCTTTATATTCATTTCTGCGCCATTATTCTTTTACCATCGTTTAAGTACAAAATAAAGTACATCATATTCAAATTTCATGTCNTCAGGCAATCATGTGTAACGCCACTATATGTCAAATAAAGCATTTTTTTTGTTCTATACCCTACTTTAAGCTTTATATTCATTTCTGCGCCATTATTCTTTTATCATCGTTTAAGTACAAAATAAAATACATCATATTCAAATTTCATGTCAATCGGATGATTTCTTGTAGAGTTGTGACAAAAAACGCACTTGTTGCTTAAGTTTTGTACACCAGTGTATATTCTTTTGTGTCGACTGAGTCATTTTAAAATACTGAATTCATTTCTTGTTTCAAGCTGAGTATAAATTTAACTAAACAAATATCATTAATATTCTTTTGTATCTATGAATTATTTTAAAAAATACTGTATTCTTTTTTACAGTGCAAATTTCTTGATTAGTATTTTAGATGATAGATAGATATGTCTCTTTAGTATCCTTTTTCTTCCAGGCTTTTGAATGTACAGGAAAATGCTCATTTCCTATGAGCGCGCACCTGGCACCCACGAAACACGCCATCATCCAAACCTTGATGCACAGCCTTGAGCCAAAACAAGTGTCCAGAGCGGCTTGTGTCCCTTCCAAATTAACACCCATTTCAATTCTTTACGTGGATGATGACGGAGTGGTCACCTACAAATATGATTACGAAGATATGGTTGTAGCTGAATGTGGGTGCAGATAATGAATTTGAAAGATAAAAAGGGGTTAAGACACTTGATTTTATCAAAAAAATTTGTTTCTCCTTTGCTAGTTTTTCAAAAAATGTACACACTTCTGTTTTAAAAGTAAACTAAATCTATTTAATATGATAATTGGATACCTTCAAGTAACGTCATCGTAGGTAAACCGCCATTTGTTGATTCAGAAACCAATCAGGTTCGATGCACACGTGTGACGTCGCTTATACGTATCCAATTAAATCACATGGTTAGCCATAATCATTTCACTTCTTCTTCGATTTGCTATGTTTAATTACTCTGGGGAACAATTTTTTTTCTTTCTGCAGCACGAGTTTTTTAAACAGCTACTTAGCTTATTTCAAATCTGAAATCTTTTTCTCCCTACTAGCCATAATTTTTAAGCAATTTAACGACAATATAGTCCGAACCAGGAGGTTTAACTTCTGAGGGTACCTACTTCTCTGGTACGTAGTTCGTATTAGAGAAGAAAGTGATAACACATTTAGTACATGACGCGATATGCTAAGATCATGATTTTTTGTCTTAAGTGTTATTTTCAAATTAACAGACAAGTATATTTATATGTATATAAACCAGCCCATTTTTTATAAACTTATATATTCATACAAAAAAATAAACTAAACTAAAAATATCATTTTGAAAAAAATCCGTAGCTTTCGGAAGAAACCTAATTTCAGATTTGAAATCCTCACATCCGAATTAAGTAAGATGCAGTACTTGTATAAATGCAACATAATATATGTTCCCCCCTGTTATTTAAGCTACTCTAACCTATACAGAAAGTACCTTAATCACTTGCGCTGATTTATACTTTTAAAATCCTTGCAAAAATGACGCACAATGCGCAAAAAAAAAATAAACAGACCAGCCTAAATAATTTTTGCTCTAATGATAGGATCTTCACGTTCTGTGACTTAATCATGACGGTTGAGGAGGTGATCTCAAATATGTTAATAAATTAGTGCAGACGATATTTTAGGTTACAAAATCAGTTTTTCTGATTAAACAGACATTTTTTTCGTCTGCGATTTCTGACTAGTGAAATATAGGGAGTAATCGAAATCTCAGATATATGGTTCCCATAGTTTGGACCCCTACATGGTAATTTTATGTTTTGCGTAATTCACTAAAACTCAAAAACTTTATATGCGAATTTAAAACTTTTTGAACACAGTTGTAAAATTCGTTTATATAAAAAATATCCCATGCAGAATATAAGTTTTAGCAAATATTTATTTTATTTAATAATAGTCAAAAAATTTGAATTGTAAGGTATAAAATTAATATCACTTTAAAGAATATCATTTTTAAATGGCAAAATACAAAATTTGAGCGAAATTGGTCGAATAATTCCTGAGAAATCTAATTTTAAAAATACTTTTTCAAATAATATTTTTGACAGGAGAGGAAAAAACTAAGCCGGTATGAAAATCTAACGAATCAGCATTGAGGAAGGGTTTAAAAATACAAAATCTGGGAAAATAGAAAGAAGTTGCAACAGTTTTAAGCACCTTATGTTCAGTCTGGCTATTAAACAGGTTTTCACGTTTTTTAAACTCCTTCTCCTCAAAAGCGATTAATCAGAACATTTTGGTTTCTTTCTGAATTAGATATTAATTTGCATCCCCTAATGTGTTCACTTTCTTATAAAAACAAGCATAACCCTCATTTTATTACAGAATATAAAAATTGACACAAATTGTTTCATAGTCACCCTCTGTTTATTGTTTTATATTAAACCCAAACGGTCTGATAAGAAATTGTGACAAAAATAATAAAAAAAATCATGACTAACTTCAAGAACTCATGGCAAAAAAATTTTCCAGTATGTGCAAGGGATAAAAAAAATTTGCTAATCCAATTAATGCGATATAAATAATCAATTTAAAATAATTATAATGCAACATCTAATAAGTCAAATTGTTAAAAGAAATGCAAGTGTCTTAACTCCTTAAAGCATTGTTTTTATTTATTAAATTTATCTAGAGAGATTTTGTAGTATACTTTAAAAAAAAAGGTTTCCAAATTTTACAAAATGGTCTCTGCTGATGCTGATCGACTTTTATTAGAAAAAAATCATATTTGTTCGTAAATCATTACAAAATTATACAATGTTTAAGCGTATATTTTATTTCCTACAAAAAAATTTTTTTCTAAATAAAAGATTTAGCAATATTTTACCTTACAGGATACTTTTAGAAATATTCTCAATCTATAAAATTTAAAGTCTGAGTAGGAAATTACAATTGAGACACTGCAATTATATATTGTCTTTGTAATTACAATTGAAGGACTTGGGGCAATAAGTCACACTTTGGCTTCAGACTGTTCCTTATATCGTTTTCAAATAGGTACTTTACCGGTTTCCAGCATTTCTACTAGCACAATATAGAGATACATCATACTGCCTACTATGAAATCATGGTGTATTCCACCAAAAACGCTTGTAGAAACGAGGTATAGCTTTCTTACATTTTTACGGAACATCAAAACAATCAGAAGATAAAAATAAATATTTTATTTTCCGGAAAAATGATATAGTCACAAAAGCTGCGTGACTAACTTAAAATTCAAAATAGTGTATAACACTGAGTAGTAGTAATTTTGTGGTTTTACAGATACATATATACTGGAGAAAATGTGCGATGAATAATTAGGACATTAGTATCCTGCAGTCAGTTGCAGTTAATTTCTGACAGCAAAAAGAATATCAGGATGAGAAGTCGCAGGTCCGGTATTCCGATCCGCAGGTCTGATCTAGCGAACTCTACACGCCTAACTAAACAATTTTAAAGCGTGGCTTATCATTATACAGCCTCAAGGCCTCTAAATGTAAAGAGAAATGAATAGTGGCACTAAATTTAAGATAATCTGTAATGTTTATATATGCCATTTGTAAATTCAAATTTAATATGTAATTAATGCTAATATGTAAATGCTATATGTATTTAATAAAAAAGTTTCTTAACAGCAAACGCTAGAGTGATTTCTATTTGATATTATTCCATAAATTATAAAATGATTGTGACTAATGCATTCAATATTGGTGTAAGAAATGGAGTGAAAATTTAAACATTTACTATACATGTAGTTGTATGTTTTCTCGACTTAATAGTTACATAAGACACAATTGCGTATTTTATTAAGGATACAGGGGACCAATGTTAAGAGACGGTAGGTAGGTACTTTATTTGCGTCTGACAAAAGCTGCACAATGGGCTATTGGCGACGGTCTGGGAAACATCCCTGAGGATGATCCCAAGAAATGCCATCGCAGTTTTGATCCGCTGCGGAGGAAATGTTTTGATAGCCTGACGACCTGCGCGCGAAGTCAAGCACTTTACGCTAGAACAGTTTAACGAGGACCGATACCGCTCTCTCTTTCGGCCCTTACGCAGGCTGATCAAAGTGATCACCCACCCGCTCACTGACCNCCCCCCCCCCACTTACTGGCAGCAACCAGTGATGCTTGAATTCGGTGATCTATTGGGAACCGTTGTCTCCCCGATCAGTCCAATGCGGGACCATCAAGATATGGAGGATACCATACAGTACACTCTTGTCTGCAAAATCATGAATGGCATGAAATGAGGCATGAAATTAAATTATTTATAACGTAGACATTTTTCATTAACAACACAATGACAATTTAAAATCAATATATGGTAAAAAAAATAATTAATTCAAAAAATAATTTGAAGGTGCCCTTAACTTTGGTTGCAACAAAACGCCTTTAATACATCTAAAGAAATAATTATTATATTTAGCTAACCATAGACAAGCTTTAATGATTAAAAATTTTAAGTAATGTGATTTATAAGCTTCATAAAAAAATTAAATAGTTCAAAGACTAACCGTTGTGCTCATTCCTATCTCTGTATAAAAAATTATACAACAATGGACAATTATATAACACAATTTTTTCATACACCAACAGTTAATAAAATTTGGTATAAAAAAATTTAAAAAAAAACAGCCAGAGTATAAACTCTGGGTTTATACCTAATATTAATTTCTTGAAAAACATTTCTTGAATTTTCCTTTTCATCTAGAGCAACAAGTCTTATTAACAAAATATTTCAGTTAAAAAAAAATTTGAAAGCATTTTTTTAAAAGAATGAAAAATTAACAACCGAATGCATCAATATCAATGCAAAATTATGATCATTTCTATATACTCACTGGTTATGTTATGAAATATTAAGATTATATCCAACAATATATAATTTTATAACATATTAATGCACTTACAAATCAGACCCTTAAGAGTTAAAATAATTCACAACAATTTAAAAAACTTAAAAATTACACTGCAAATCATTAGACGCATAAAAAATATTTAAAAGAAGAAAAAAAAACTTGCCTCTAGTTTAAAAAGTAAATTAAAATTCTCAAAGTAGTAATTGTATCTCAAAAAAATTACCCAAACATTACAATAAATTAATTTTATAAAGTTTCAATAAAAGTTTTTTTCTAATCTAGAATTACCACAGCAAATGACCAACAACAGCTTTAATTTGGCAGAAATGACCAATAGACACACGTGTGTTGAAAACTCAATTTTCAGGAAAGAGTTTTGTATAAAAATCTTCACTCCTTCTTAAAAAAAATTTTTAAACTAAAAAAAATTTGTAAAATTTGAATTTTTTTTAGGATTTCAACAAATACTTTAATTAATTCTACATTTTGCTGCAGTTATTTAAGCTGATTTTAAATCTCTGAGTTTTCCATTTTTCCCAGACTCAAATGATCTGACAACCAAATTTTTTATGAATTTAAAAAACGCAATAATACAAACACTTACTATTTTTAACATTTTATTTAAACTAAACAGTTTTAACCATGAAAATCTAGTACATATAATTAAACGTAACACGAAATAACAAATAAATAGATGAAAATTTATAGCAGAAATTTAAATACGTAATATAAGACAGTTACTTCTCTGACAATCTCTTGAAAGAGAATGCAATAACTTTTTCTCTATTACTTCAACAAAAAAATAAATAAATAAGAACACAAGGCATATAAATGATTTTGTATATCACAATGAGTACTAATGAAACTCAGTCAAGAAGATAAGGAGATGAACAAACCAGTTAAACTATATATTGACTGGGCAAAACAGAAAAGACTCAGAACCAACAGTGTTCAAACATTAACTAACACTGCAGTAGGGTGTGCTAATTATATCAGTGGTCAATTCCAATTCTGCTTCCAGCTCACACTGACCACGGTGTTGACATAAAATATCCTCACGTGTAGATAGACAGATCACGGGTTTGAATCCTCTTGCCATAAAGTTAACCGTAGGAGGTTTTCATTGTTTTCCTCTCCATGTAATGCAAATGTGGGTTAGTTCCATTAAAATGTTAACCATAATGGATAGTTTGTTCCAATGCTTGATCTAAGAGTTCCCTTGTCTTCTTGATTGGGTTCAAAATTACAAGACTACGGAGTTGAACATTGAGAGTCGTAAACTCAGAATTGTCGGTTATTCAACACTGGTTATAAAATAAAATAAGAAATTATCAGTGGTGCTATAGGGCAAATGTAGGAAATTTTGCTTTTGGCTAATTATAACTTTTCTTACAGCAGTCACTTTTTCTTTTCTTTTTTAAACACAGTGGCCAGATTTTTTAAAACAATTCAAGAACTGTTGATACCAAAAATGTAAAATATTATTTACAAAGCATCGCATTTCTTAAAATATTGTAAATATTGCAAGGTTCTAAAATGAAGAAAAATTTTAAGCAGCAAGCATAAAATAAAGTAATTTAGGGAATATTATAAAATATTCATAATAACTCAATATTTATTTTAAAAAAATTAAGACAATATTTTAATCACTTTATCATATTTAGTCACCCTATGACCACCAGTGCAACCATTTCAAAAATAAAATCAGCCAGGCTTTTTTCAAGGCAAAAGAAAAATAAAGAACAAAATCATTTTACACAATTAACAGTTTCAAATAATAAAAAATCTCAAAACAATGAAAATTTAAAAAATATGCATAACATTAAAGCAAAAAGATAATAACTTTCACCTATAAAAATTTCAAACAAAAACATTTCTAGCTATTGAAAATAGCACATTGAAAAGTAATAACAAAGATTTCGAATGAATGAAATGCATTTACTAGTTATAACATAGTTCACTATCAAAAAACAATAATTGATTACTATAAAAACTGTTTTAACCTTACAAGCTATATTATTAATAACAGAAAGAACATGACAGTATTTTTTGGAGATATTATACAATGGAAGATTGCATTTATTTTATTATGTTTGCAACTAAAATTACGCTAAATTTTCACAATAACAAAATTCTGATAAACAACTTGCAAGAAGAGTCTTCAAAAGTGTTTCATAAGTAAAAATACACATGATTAACTTAAGTAGATGATTTGAATAAGAGGTTGAATTTAATTGAAATTGATAAATAAGATGAAATAAGAAGATTTGAAAAAAAAAATAAAGAAATTATCAAATTAAATGAAGATTTATTTCATTCGAGAAAAAGAAAACAGAAATGAATTGTGATTCGGAACAAGTATTTTATTTACACGGCATTAGAACTGCTCAATGTGTTATTGGTGACGGTCAGGGGAACATCCCTGAGGAGGACCCAAAGACACACCATCACAATTTTGATCTTCTGTGGAAGAGAATGCTTCCCTACTTTGGTAACCTGTGCATGGTAGAACAGTATAATGAGATTATACTTGCTCATGGTAGAACAGTATAATGAGTTTATACTTGCTCATGGTAGAACAGTATAATGAGATTATTCTTGCTTATGGTAGAACAGTATAATGAGATTATACTTGCTCATGGTAGAACAGTATAATGAGATTATACTTGCTTATGGTAGAAGAGTATAACGAGAACCGATAATGCACACCCTGGGTGCCTTTTCAGACTTATCAAAGTGCTCACTTCCTGACCACTGCCAGTGATGCTTGACTGCAGTAATCCACTGGCAATAATGTTTTACAATCAATCTACTGTGAGATAAATGCATCATTAAGTAGTTTAAAAAATGAAGCTAAATTTTGGAAATTTATTTTCAAATCAGCTAGATTTTAAAATTTCCAAAATTCTTTTTGGACAACTATTTAATAAATTTTCAAGTAAGAGAAGATAAATAAATTTCTACAAAATAGATTTTATAAAACCAAGTTTAAGGTAGTAATATAGATTTTGTTAAAAAACAATAAATAATTTAAAATAAGATAAAAAATTTCATAATGTTTTTAAAACAATAAGCATGTAAAACAAATCTGAATATGTTTTGGTGAATATAAAAATATTTTTCAAAAAACAAATTTCATTTGTTTGAAAAGGTAACAGTGTAACATTGGACAAAATTAACAGTCGCCACCAACCACAGGTCAACTAAATATAACCAATGGCGATTGAAATATTTTCTGCCAGTCATCAGCCCATTGCCACATTTTTTATAGAAAATACATCCCATGTGCATTTTATTATTGTTTTAATAAACATAGAATAATTAAGAATTTTTTTTTCACATTTGATTTATAAAATTTTTCCTTATTTTAGAAATGATCTAGCAATGTTTACTATATTTTGATAAATGCTTTAAATGTCTTATTGCATTAAGATTAATCCAATTTTTCAATCATTTAAATGTTTAATTTTTAAAAATGTGGCGACATTTTCTAAAAAGTGGCTATTAGTCAGTAGCAAAATACTCCAACTTCACCCTATAGGATAACAAATTTCTGATAAATCTGGTATAATATAGTTTTTGGCACTCAAAAGTTAAAATTTGCTTATGGTATTTTTTTTAAATACAAGTAGACTGCCTGCTTCAAATGCAGGCTTTTGTGTGCACTTAATGAACAAATTGCCCATTGATTTAATACTGGTTAATTAACAACCGCCAATTACAATGATGCAACAAGTTAAAACTTTCGGAAATTTATACAAAAAAGAAATTTAAGATTTTTGAAATAAACTCAAAACAACTAAGGCATGTTTTAAAAAACATTATTTTTATAAAACAAGAGTTTGATTAATTGTATGACTTTTCTTGTGTTTGCATTTACCTTAAGAATCAAATGATTTTTTTCAGATAAGGGTTTACTTAGAACGTTTCTGAGAAGAAAAAAAATTTAAAGGCAAATATAATCCTGCTTTATAAGTTGACTGCATTTCAATTTAAACACTAAAATAACTTATGAAATCTTGTTAAAATTTTAACTTTAGGTTTCTGCTGCCGTAAAACCTTTCTTGTAAGAGTAAATAATAAATTAAATAAAATTCATAACACTCAATAACAAAATTATTTAATTCTAACAGTTTCGCTAACTTTTAAACAACTCTACAACAGAAAAATTTATAACATGAGACATAAAAAATTAAAATTAAAGTCAAGACTGTATGTCTTTGTGTTTTTCTTTCGTATGAATAGTGGTATGCCTAGTTAAATGATGCTTAAGTGAAAAACTTTTGTTGCATATGCTACAACAATACAGCTTTACTTTAGTATGAATAAGAATATGATTATTTAAATGATGTTTGAGAGCAAAACTCCTATTACATTGGCTACAAGAAACAAGAATAAGGTTTTTCATTTGTGTGAGTAAGGTAGTGATGCGTTAAATTTCTTTTTTGAGTAAAACTTTTATTGCATACGATACACGAATAAGGTTTTTCCCCTTTATGAATCATAATGTGTGCATTTAAATTAGTTTTAAGTGAAAAACCTCTCTGACATATACTACAAGTAAAAGGTTTTTCTTTAGTATGGACGAAAGTATGTGAAATTAAATGGTGTTTTTCAGTAAAACTCATGGAGCACATACTACAAAAATAAATCTTTTCTTTACTATGAACAAGATTGTGCGCTTTTAACTGATGCTTTTGTGTAAATCTTTTATTACAGACAATACAAGAATAAGGTTTATCAGTTGTGTGAACAAAACTATGTGATTTTAAGCCATTTTTAAAAGAAAAACGCTTATTACATAAGCCACAGGAATAAGGTTTGAAATTGGTATGAACAACAAAGTGTCGATTTAAAGTACTTTTCAGATAAAAACTTTTGAAACATATATTACAGGAATAAGATTTTTCTTTAGTTGAAATTAACCTAAGTGAAAGATTTGTATTTAGAGACATTTTTACAAATACTGCATCTATTTCTACTCATTTAAAAAAAAAATATATAATTTCCGATAACCAATTTGTTTTTTAATACAATACATTTTTCTGTTTATATTTAACATAACTAAAAAATAAAAGCTGTTAAAATTTTTAATAGAAAACAAAAACTTAATTGCACAGATAAAAATTTCAGATTAAAGTACAATTTTTAAATTCTTAAACATTAAAACATAGCTTAGTTAAAACACCATTCAGTTTTTTCTTCTATTTGTTACTGAAGACAAATAGTGTTGGTGGATTTTAAATAAAGACCATAAAAATTTAAAGTTGCTGTACAGACAGAAATTTCCTGGCCTTTTTAATAACACTCTTCTGAATAATTCTTCCTCACAGAACTGCACATAAAATTGAGTAAAAAACATCACAAATGCAATGAACAAACATCAACTAAATGGTCTTGTTTGTTATCGACGTCTTATCCAACATTCCTTGAAATAAACATATATTAGTTTACTTATACATTAAATTTCAAATTCCATGTAGAATTGAAGCTTCTGGATCAATCATGAGTTATATTTTTGAATGATGTGAAACATTTTGTTTGATGGCAGTTTTTGTCATAATTCTTCACATTTTACAGCATTTTTCTTCACATGGTCTTCAAAATAAAATATTACTGATTGCATGAACCAGACACTTGCTCTTTAATATTTCTTTTAATAATTGAATTTGAAGGTTAGAGAAGAAGTCAGTTGTAGAAAAAAGGACCATTTCAATGATCTACATACTTGATTTAAGCCCAAATGGAAGACAAGAATGGGAAGTCTGTATAATTCTAAAAGAAAGAAGAAAAAAAAAGTTAGTTTGTCTCAAGATGTAATAGAATATTTAATAATTTAGCTGCTGATACTCCAAGGTTATTTAAAAAATCAGACAAGTCTCAAAACAAAATATCTATTCCTCAAAATGAGCGTAAAAGTAGCTTGTAAAATGTAGTTTTTTACACCAAAAGCTAAGGTTTACTTGATGGTTTAAAAACTTCATTTACTTCAAACAATTATATAAGTGGTCTTCGAATCTTTTAATTTTAATTTGATAAATTTTTATCTTTTCATTTTAAATGATCTATCTCTTTTAATTTTCTGAAGCAAGTGATTTTTATATTGTCAAATAAATCTTTCTGCTTCTTCTAAGGATTATTCATTTAATTATTCATTAATCCATCATACAAGCAGTTAATAAGATACTATTATACAAGTAGTACAATAGTTATCTTATTATATAGTTATTATATGCCAAAGGAAACTTATATTCACTCAATAAAATATGAGAATTTGAGGAATGCATGAATAGAGGAAAATGTTAATCTGTGATAATTACAGTTCAATGACAGAGATAATCCTCAAGGAATATCACAAAAAATTCTAAAGAATACAATAACCACCTCCGATATACTCTACGATAGCCGCTACTGATAGTACTAACAGTTACCACAAATGCATACACTAGTGCAAAAACAAGTTAAATAGTTTAGTTACAATTTTTGTATCAAATGCAAAATAATTACATGCACTTGATCTATCACAATATTAAAAATAAAAACAGTGCAGCACATACTCATGAAATAGATTATAGGTAAAAAAAAAAATTAAGAACTTATGGTTCACCTATGTATACTCTTTCCTACTAAATCTCGCATGAACTTCTTTGATTGAATAACGAAAACAAACAACTGCAATTGCTTCTTAACACTTATATTATGACCTGTTTGATGGAATGTATTTTGCTTATAGCTTTCATATTAATTCTGTTTGCATTACTGCCGAGTTTAAAGTTCGTATTCTGGAACAACAGGATCATCAGTTGCACTGGGCATTTCTTCAGTGTAACCCTGGTTGTGTTCCTTCGGTTTCTTCTTTATTGTGGCTTTTTAAATTTGAAAAAGAAAAATGTATGATATTCTTTCGTATGCAAGTGAAAACAAAATGGAATATCTTTTTCTTTAAAGAAGGATTGTAGTTGTTGTTAATTTACGTCGCACTAGAGCTGCACAATGGGCTATTGGCGACGGTCTGGGAAACATCCCGGAGGATGATCCGAAGACATGCCATCACAATTTTGATCCTCTGTGGAGGGGGTGGCACCCCCGCTTCGGTAGCCCGATGACCTGCGCGCGAAGTCGAGCACTTTACGGTAGCACAGTTTAACGAGGACCAATACCNATTTAAATTAAAACTCATAATAATAATTTAAACTTTTCTTAAAGTTAATTTAAATTTTTTTTTTAATTTTAGAAAATGAATCATTGATGTTTTACAATTTTTTTTTTCATAATTGAAAAAATTCAGAATCTTGAAATATTTTCATATTATTCCTTCAACCTTCATTTTTCAAATACTACAACCAGTTCTTTTCTTCCAATAAAATTTTTTATGCCGTAATTGTAATTACGTTTCTAATTTAAAACACTCTTTCTGAATATTACAATCACCTTGGAAAAAAATGTATTTTAATAAAATTTTACTAAATTCAGTATTTTATAAAATTTACAACTTTAACAAATTTCTTAAGGCAGCAATCAAAGCAAAAAATAATTTAAAGTGTACAAATATTTCAAATTAGAATTCTGAAATAATTTGTCAAATAAAGTGAATCGGATATTATGAGTATATTTTACATATATCCTCACATTTTGCAATTAATATTCTCAAAACTTACGTGATATACAATCTAAATATACTCATAATACAAGATAAATCAATTTAATGAGAAATTCTCAATTAAAAGTTTGTATCGTTTAATAATAAATAATACAAATTTAGTAAATAAGCATTTTTTAAATACTTTAGTAAACAAAAATGAAATATATCTCTCAGACATTCAGGGTTGTCTCTGAGACATCTAAAAGAATATCCTTGGGATATCCAGAAACTAAATATAACAGACATCTAAACGATGTGAGAGAGATATCAATGTTTAACTTAGGACATCCCTTGGATGACTGTGGTAGGTCAAAGATATCTGTCGGATGTCTCTTGGATATGCAACAGACATCAATATCCAAATATCTGCTAGACATCACACAGATGCGACCCCTGGATTTCTGTTGGATATTTCATGGATGTTCAGACGTCTCAGGGATCTCTGATGGATATGGCAATATCCAGTTTTTTTATCCAAGAGATATCTCTAAGATGTGTTGTGGATATTTGTGGCTGTATGGGTTTGTAAAGAATCTTGTTATTAGAGTTAAAACCTAGTGCCTGAGAAATCGTTCTACTAAATTTAATGATCTAGTGGGAAAAGACTTTTTTAAATTTTACATTTCATACTTTTTTATCTGTATCATATTACTTCAAACATTAAAATCATGCAAAAAGTTTACAGAAGCACATAATGTTATACCATTTAATTTTGCAAAGAAAAAAAAGGTTTTGAGAACAATTTTTATCATAAAATTTAAAGTTTCAACAAAAAATCATTATTTATAAACTAAAAAACACAAAGTAAAGAATGTTTACGATAAAAAAAAATCGATTTTAAAAATTCCTCATATTAAAATAAAAAGACTTTCATACTGTTTCTTTTAATCAGGAGTAGAAAACCATTCTGTACCGAACTATCACCAAATTAGGAAAAAAAATATTTACAAGTAAATTTTTTTATGAAAATAATAAAAAAAACTTCAATTTTTTGCATGCTTTTCTGCCACCCTATTTTTAATAAAAGTGAGCTTCGCTTCGCGGCTCCATGTTGATTGCCTCCTTCAGCAGCACTGATCTGAAATTCTATGCATTAGAATTGTTTAGTGCAGAGTGGAGAGTTAGAAATCTTTCTCGAACTCGCTTAAGGTAACCACCCACGCAAAATCACAGCTGCGCGGTTCCAGATTATTTTCCATCACCATGATCTTATCTCTTCATGGTTTAAATGCACATGAGGCAAAATAGGTAATGCTGCTCTAAAACGTAGTGGAATGAATTATATAGCATTACTGTCTATATATAGCTAGAATTAGCAGAGTCTCTTAACGGTTTCGTTTTCAATGAAATATTTTCCTCGTACTGAAGAGATCACCGAAACAAAAAAAAATGAGGTTAAACCGGTTTTATTGAGTAGCGAGCTCTGCTTTGTAAATGGTTGAATAAGTCATGTCTTTGTGCGCTTCAGAACAAGTTTTTTTTTGTTTATTGTCTGACTCATGGCATTTGTAGAAGAAAAAAATTTAACTTTTTAAATTTGAAACATAANAAGATAAGGCTTGGAAAAGGAAAATATTCACGTTTCGGCTTTAAATACGGTTAATCTACTTTACCTTGCTACCTATGTTCGTCTACTAAGCTAAGTTTCAAAATGAAAATTTCACTAGTTGTCCATTGGACTAATCGACACTATAATTACCAAACATCGGAATAAAACTTTTTTTAAATTCATGCTTATAACTTGATAAAGACCATATGGTTAATATTAATGGTTAAGTTATATAGTTAATGTTAATGGTTAAGTTATTAGCTATCATAAATTTCCGTAATTGTCCAAATTTTAACTTTCTAATATTTGGACAAATTTTAGCTTTTTAGCTCTAGGACTTAACAGTAAGAGGGAGAATTATCTATGATTCAAGACGTTAGGGCTTTACTATTTATAAATACAAATGTATAGATACAGGGTATTCCGTAATACCATTCAGAAATTCATGTCAATGAATTAAAAAATATATATATGTGTACACATTAAAAGCCTCAAATCGATATTTCTGTGAGGAAGAAAAATTCGCGACTGCCACGCTCGAATACGGCATAAAGAAGACCGGTACTATATCTTCTTCCTCCCCCTTTCCCTCTCCTCTTCTTCTCAGTTGTATAGAAATGTACTACAATATTTTCCCTTTCTTATTATTTTTCGTATTTAATTGTCACAAATATCTTTTTTAAAAATTTCCATGACATTTTTTTTAGAACTATGTTCAATGTAGTTTTCATTTTCTTATAGATTTCGAACTTAAAAGTCTTTAATCTATTTGAAAATCAAGACAGAAACCAACATACTTCCTTCTCCAACGACTCTCCACACGCTAATGTTGAGAGTTCTTCTCTACGCCACCTGTAACCCTATTCTATTGACAATAACGCTATTTAAATTTGGAATATCACCGACGTGGAACATCACAACCAGTTTGATTGGCTGAAAAAATTAGAATTGTTTATAGTAATCTTTTTTCAACACCAACAGATTATATTTTCCGTTCCGCTTATCTTAGTTGCGATACGTTAGATTTCTAAAAAACATATATTAAGGATTGTCATCACATATAACACTCTCTTGTTGACACATTAATCCTTTGATATCCACGAAGGACTTAATAGTGCCTCTTCAGCATCTAAATGTAAAAACCTTCAAAGTGATTTTTCTTAAAAATATATTTCAAATTACACAAATATTTATAATATAATTTATTGAGAATGTAGGCATTAATTCGTAAAAGCCTTTTTAGGTTACATCATAGTAATTCAAAGGAGCAATTTCAAATATGTAAATTAATTAGTACAAACTATTAATTAAGTTGCCAAATCAGACACAAAAATATACCTACCTTTTTTTCGAGATATTTGTTTTTTTGTTCATAAAAACATGGAAGGAGGGGTAGTGGTAATCTGAAAATATGGTCCAGATATTCAGAAGAGCTGTTTTGGATCCTTTATGTTAAGTTCATTTTTTACATATTTCGCCATATCTCGGGAATGTTTTAAGTTATTTAAAAAGTTTGTGCAAAGAATTTTGAATTTAATTTATCCAAAGGCAACTCTACGTGAAAAATAATTTTTGATGCATTTTTATTATTTATCTCTACGCCACCTTTATATAATAGTAGATATATATAAGTGTTAGGAAATTTTTGAATTGTAAGATTAGAATCTTAAAATTATGGCTTTTAAAAAATAAAAAAAATTATAACTCAGAAAATATTCTAATAATTTTCTTCAAATGTCAAATTAAGTAGTTTATAATAGTATAAAATTTTTTACATGTTACAATTCAATATTTTTTTTTCTGATTCTTATTAAATAAAATAACAAAAAAATTAGACATTATTTTTTACGCAGGATTCTCTTTGGATAAATTAACTTTATAGTTCTGTGAATAGGAATTTTTCATTTGCTTTCAGACTTTCAAAAATATGGCTAGGTTTGCTAATTGTGAAATTAACATTAAAGGCCATTAACTTTCGACAGCTTATTGAGCCAAAACTTTTGAGACTATATTTTCCAGATTGCAATTTCGCCTCATATTTTGATGGTCAAAAATCTGAATCCGCCGAACAAAAGGTAAGTCTATTCAGAGAAAGAACGTTTCTTTAACTTATATCTGTTTCTGTAACTCAAAAATTAGTACTATTTAATTATCCCATTTCAGGTCACCGTTTTGAATCATTAAGATTTTATTTTGTTTAATGGTCGAAGTTGAACAGCCAACCCAATTCTGGTGTTCACCTTCGTAGCCTTGTAATTTTGAACCCATTCGACAAGTCAGCTTTCCTGGAGGACTTCTGATGACATTGACCAGCATTTCCGTTACATGAAAAGAAAAATTACAAAACTCCCACGGTTAGCCAGATGGCAAAGGGATTCGAACCCGTATTCCGTCAACTGAGGACGTTTTATGTAAGCACTGTGGTCTGTGCAAACCAGGGGCAGAATCCGTGTCAACCAGGTTTTTGCTGGGATTTGAACCCGGATTCTCTCATTGGGAGACAAACGCTCTGTGGGGGGCGGAGCTATCGACCATGCCAACTGTCATCTATCAAAAGGTACCTCGTGATAGAATCAAGTTAGCATGCTTTATATACTAGTGAATGATGTTAAACTTTTGTAGTGGTAATTAAGCCACAGTACTTCCCCACCAGAAATTTATCAGAGTTATAATTCGATGAACAGATCTCACTAGTTGCTGTTACTTGTGAAAGACCGGGAGAGAGTCACCGGATTTTTTGAGTGCTGATTGTGAGAGGTGTATTAAATTCACAGACGTGGTCGCTCCTGTGTTGCCTTTAGCAGTCGAGTGTATGCTTGCCGACGTTGTGTGTGCGACGAGACTGAGCAACAGCGCAAGAGGGCGAATAATGCATTCACGAATAGCAAGTCAACCGTTCAATGTGGATTATCCGTCGAAGTAGGCGTTATCGTTAAGAGATTGCGAAGTGGGCGTTACTTGCGTGTTCAAATCACGTCCGGGTCACCAATGTGGGTGGCGGAGCTATCGATCATGCCAACCGTCATCTATCAAAAGGTACCTCGTGATAGAATCAAGTTAGCATTCTTTATATACTAGTGAATGATGTTAAACTTTTGTAGTGGTAGTTACGCCACAGCTCTATCACCTGCCTCACAGTGGCTCTTTGGCACTTAGCTTCTATCTTTATTTTATAACCAGCGTTGAACAGCCAACCCAATTCTGAGTTTACATCTATCAATGTTCAACTGCGTAGATTTGTAAGTTTGAACCCTAACCTAGAAGACAAGAGAGCTCTTGGATCAAGCGTTTCTGGGACAAACTTGCCATCATGAAGGACTTTTAAACGAAAACCCGCATTTTCGTTTACGAAAATATCGAAAAATCTAATCATTCGCACAAAGGTTATTTAAAAAGATGTTCTTTTTATTTTGGGCAATTTACATTACTTTATTAATTATGCAAGTGGACACATTATTATTATCCAATGACGTATTTTTNCTGTTATAAAAGCCAGATGGCAGGGGGATTCGAACCCGTATTCCGTCAACCACTGAGGACGTTTTATGTAAGCACTGTGGTCTGTGCAAACTAGGGGCAGAATCCGTGTCAACCAGGTTTTTGAACCTGGATTCTCTCATTGGGAGACAAACGCTCTGTGGGGGGCGGAGCTATCGACCATGCCAACCGTCATCTATCAAAAGGTACCTCCTCGTGATAGAATCAAGTAAGCATGCTTTATATACTAGTGAATGATGTTAAAATTTTGTAGCGGTAGTTACGCCACAGTACTCCCCCACCAGAATTTTATCATAGATATAATTCGATGAACAGATCTCACTAGTAGCTGTTACTTGTGAAAGACCGGGAGAGAGTCACCGGATTTTTTGAGTGCTGAATGTGAGAGGTGTTTTAATTTCACAGACGTGGTCGCTCCTGTGTTACCTTTAGCAGTTGAGTGTATGCTTGCCGACGTTGTGTGTGAGACGAGATTGAGCAACAGCGCAGGAGGGCGAATAATGCATTCACGAATAGCAAGTCAATCGTTCAATGTAGACTATCCAACGAAGTAGGCATTACCGTTAAGAGATTGCGAAGTGGGCGTTACTTGCGTGTTCAAATCACGTCCGGGTCACCAATGCAGGGGGTGGAGCTATCGACCATGCCAACCGTCATCTATCAAAAGGTACCTCGTGATACAATCAAGTTAGTATGCTTTATATACTAGTGAATGATGTTAAACTTTTGTAGTGGTAGTTACGCCACAGCTCTATCACCTGCCCCACCGTGGCTCTTTGGCACTTAGCTTCTATCTTTATTTTATAACCAGCGTTGAACAGCCAACCCAATTCTGAGTTTACATCTATCAATGTTCAACTGCGTAGATTTGTAAGTTTGAACCCTAACCTAGAGGACAAGAGAGCTCTTGGATCAAGCGTTTCTGGGACAAACTTGCCATCATGAAGGACTTTTAAACGAAAACCCGCATTTTCGTTTACGAAAATATCGAAAAATCTAATCATTCGCACAAAGGTTATTTAAAAAGATGTTCTTTTTATTTTGGGCAATTTACATTACTTTATTAATTATGCAAGTGGACACATTATTATTATCCAATGACGTATTTTTATTAAAATAAACTGGAGGAAAGAAAAAAAAAACCTCCTATTTTCTTCTTTTTTGTTATTAATATTTTATCTATATTTAATGTAAAATTTAATACTGTATTTATACAATAAAAGATTATAAATTAAAACATTTTAAATTGTCTCCGTTTCCACTCAAATTTACCGTATTTCCCTCGATAGTGTTACATAAATTCCTCAGTGGTAATCGTCAATTTGTTAAAATATGTATAAGCTCTTCTTGCGAATTTATTTTTTTTAATTATTATAGAGCCTTTAAAGGGTTTAATCTGCTGCCCTTAAGTAAACTATGAACATAAAAAAATTAATAAAAAAATGTTTGCTTAGGAAAACACTATCCGTCGCAAGAGATGAGATAAATCGATCGAATTATTCACTTTACTTTCGTCATTGTATTATCTTTCCTATTGTATGCTCTGACATAAATAATAAAGGAGAAAAAGTTTTTCATGAATTTAAATGAATGAATGAAATAACGGATTATAATCTAATATGAAACAAAATATGCTTTAAAAAAGGAATTCTTCAAAAATATGTATTGAATAAACTTATTAAACACAGTAAAAAAAATGGAAAAATTAAATGTCTACACACACTACTCAACCAAGTCCAAGTACCTTTCCCGTTTTACCGGATTCTATATTTTAACAGCTTCGGAAGAAATGCTATTTAACTTTGTTTTCCGTTAAATGACGAGGGCATTGCATGAACTGGCACTACCCCTAAATTTCTACACCACAGCCAAAGTGAGATCCACAGCAACGACGTATTCAACATGTTCTTTGTTTTTCTGTATTTATTTGCCGGCGAGAATCGAACTCACGACCTCCAACTCTCATCCAATGGAGTGAGTTCCGACTGCACCATTGGAGTGAACAACATTTTTAAAACAAATCCGAAATGGGTGTCGAATGTTTTCTGATTAGTAAAAACAATGCTCTATTTTGTAAAAAAGCAATACTCATTAACACCAAAAAATGATGAATAAGCTATAAATTTCTGTACGAAAAAAATTTTTCGAAATCATAAAGTTTTAAAACATTTTATTACACAGAAAATGAAGAAACCATGAATATGCACATTTAATAGCTACATCTAATACAAGTATCATACATCGAACAACAATTTGCAAATACATTACAATAACAAATACATATATATTTAACATTTGAGCAAACTTTAAGTTTTAATTCATTAAAGTTATTAATTTTAATCTTCAACAGCAAGTTTAATAAGTATACGGCTCTTTAAAAATTAAATAAAGATGTAACTTTAACAAAAAATTATTATCGTATAATTTCTCGATATTAAAAGAAAACGAAAATTGTAGATCATATTGCGATATCGGTTTCAATTGAGAATTACCTATATTCCCGGAGATTTAATCTGACATACACGTCTGATTTATGTTGAATATGTTTTTGGTTTGTCTTATAATTGGTAAATAATTCAATTGCCATTTCACGTAGAATTTTATTCCCTTTACACAGATTGTTCTACATTTTTTTTCAAAGATCATCCAGACATTTTGCGGGATGCTCTTTTAAGTTGTTAGAGAGATTTAGCACTTTCACATTCACGTATGCTCAATTGCTATGAAATAATCACAATTCTCTACAACAGAGCCTGTAGAAAACGAAGGGTACGTGAAAATGCTATATATCTCTGTTATAGTGGCCAATGGCTGAAAGTACGTATAAATGGTGCTATGTATCTCTAAACTACCACTACACTTGTTCTAGCATATTGAATCATAACGACTATATGCATAACTGTTTAAGAATTAAATTCAATACTTGGTTTAAAACTAGTACCATTAACAATAAATATTTATTAAGATACATATCCAAAAAAAAGTATTCTTATCAAATATGTTATAAATTGCACAGAAAAAGTTTCGGCTTGTGTTGTTTATTAAAATGTTCTATCAAACTCTGTCGTTTTATTTAAAGCAAATATATGGACAGATACATGTTTACAACAGTGGAAAGTTACATGGACTTTATGTTCATAGGATGGATAATTACTAGAGATATGGCATAAGTTATTATTAAGAGTTCGTTCCGAATGCTCGATACAAAGTAATTTTTTTTATGAAACCATTCAAATATGTCTAAGCATTTTTGATGTCATTCCATGAGGAAGCTATCAAGTCAACAAATGAAAAAATTATTATTTTAATTTTCTTGGTTTCAGATCTCTTTAATATTTGAATTCCAAGCACAAAAGTGAAACTGTTATTAAATAAGAAAATTGAGGCTGATTGACTGTTATGGAATAACACGTGGTTTTTTATTTTTGGAATCCATGAGGAAGCTATCATGTCAACAAATGAAAAAATTATTATTTTAATTTTCTTGGTTTCAGATCTCTTTAATATTTGAATTCCAGGCACAAAACTGAAACTGTTATTAAATAGGAAAATTGAGGCTGATTGACTCCTATGGAATAACACTTGGTTTTTTATTTTTGGAATCCATGAGGAAGCTATCAAGTCAACAAATGAAACAAATGTTATTTTAATTTTCTTGGTTTCAGATCTCTTTAATATTTGAATTCCAGGCACAAAAGTGAAACTGTTATTAAATAGGAAAATTGAGGCTGATTGACTGTTATGGAATAGCACGTGGTTTTTTATTTTTAAACTTATGGTTAAGCAATGATTTGGATTTAATAAAGTTAATTGAAACAAAAGCGGAACAGTGACTTACTTCAGTATCAGAGCTGATTCCAACTATTTATAATCATTAAATGGGTCAAGTTTGACGCATGCGCCATTATTTGACCATCCCCTTGATGCAAACAGCTTAAGAACTAATGAAAAAATGCTTTTGTCCTAGTAAAATCATTACTACAACATATTCTAATGGTTACTTTGCAACTTACTTACCAAAGAAAAGTGTTATTTTCAAAACAACTCCCAAAATAACTAATGCAGTTTGAAATGTAAATGTTATTTGAAATAACTGCCATCTCTAGTTTGCTTGTAGACTGTTACATGTTGTACTTTGTGTGTTAATGTCTGGACGACTGTTAGATTCGGAAGGACTTTGTCATAAGCTAATGTCGTTTTGTGGGTGTGCATAAATTCATCAAGTGTTTAGATTATAATATTAACACGTTAATTTTAAAAAACTTGACTTAAACGTTTGTAAATTTAATACAAAAGTTTATTTTATTTTCAGTGCATGAATTTAAAATGAGTGAAGATAAGTATCATTGGTAAAAAGTTTAGAGTGCTTTAATTAAAAATTAGAATATTGACACAAATAGTTAGTATGCATGAAAATAACATTTTAGGTATTTTAATCGTTTAATTTAATTAAATTTAAGGATCTCGAATACCTTATTAAATCTAATTTTGACTAAATCCGCAAACTTAGAATTTTTGCTTAGAATAATTCATTTTATCTCTCTAAAACAAATAAATTTTGTTAACATCCCAAACAAAATTGAAGTTAGGATAATTTAGAAAAGAACGTTTATATATGGCATTAGCACAATGCACAAAAACATTTTATTGCTCATAAGAAAATTGGGGTATTTTTCATTAAAAAAAAATTTTTTTTTTAAAAAATGCATGTGAACAGTTCGAAAAAGTGCTTTATCATTATAATGTCCCTAACCTTTCTATGACATAAAAGAACTCAAAATCTGAACTCAAATAACTTGACTTGGCTGACAAACTGTCCTGTTGTTCCATAAATAAAACGTTGCGTTGCATAAATGTTCTCGAACATTTGAGAAGTTATTGGGCTAAAATATTTACAACCTCATTTCATAACAAGGTAACAAAATGTCTTATTCTATAAATATGATAGACTTCAGTAAATCGCATTAAATATACAATACAAGCAAACATAAATAATTGACTTTAAATACTGTGTTACTCAAAAGTATCTTTCCAACTTGCAATAACACGTGAAATAAATAAAATAGCAGAGCTCCTTTTTTGTGTCTGGGCAGTAAATAAAGTTATTTTTCCTTCTCTTATGTGATAAAATTCCTAAGTGATGGAACAACTCTACCCAGAACAGTTCAAAAATTATCTGGATAGAGTAGAATTTAATATAGATATTTTGTTGGCACAAGAACCTGAATCAGCTATACTGCGTAAGTTTAAAAGGTACTACCTAATCTTGTTAATACATATCATCAATCGCTGCTGGGAACTAACTGTGAAAATACACGGTAACTAAAAATTGTGGGGCATAAATTTACATGAAAAAGTCAAATAAACTGAGTAATTTACATATCTGTTTGTAAATTTATCTGTGATTTTTGCCTTGAGCGAAATGCGTCAGAAAAAGTACAATCTAGCAATCACGAGATGGCTTCTGACACTAGACGTGTAGGAGGCGGTTGCTATAGTAACTGACTAGTCTATTTATTTTTAGGTGAAAACAATGCTTTGGTTTGGCGGCCACGTTGAACTAAGCTATAATTTCCCTTTTGTGGTTGGTTGAAGCTAATACTCACCACTCCAATCGCTTCACGAAATGAGTAAACCTATCAACCTCACTGAGAGTTAATCTCACGATTGTTAGACATTAGAAAAGTTGGTACCACAAAATCGCTAGACAGCTTCAGTGCTTTGAAACAAAGAGCTCGCATCATAAATATACATTTTGCTAAAACGTGTGAAAGGTGCAAGCAACTGAACTCGTCTAGTACGTTTATGTTACCTGCTATTGCCCATTTAATTTTAAAAGACAATTTTGAATAATTATGATTTAAATTTCAATAAAACGATTCACATAGAGAAGCAATATAAATAATAAAAGCAGTGTGTTATGGTTTATGAATATAGTCAAATTTCGTTTCAGACAACTTTCCTTATAAGCCTAACTTAACTCCTAAATTTGTTATCTTTATTTAGAAAAAAAATTACCGCCAGAAATAATTTATATACAATTAAATTTTTTACAATTTTTTTTTCTAACATTGATATCATTAATAAAAAGTCTAATAATGTAAGTCTAATTTATTATCTCTAAATCTACTTAATCAATAAAAATAGATTATTTATCTTTATTTAAAAAATTGTTGCTAGTTATTTGTGACTTATATTTTTAAGAGAACTTTATAATTATAATACATATAAATAAAAAAAATGTTTTTAATTACAAGTTTTTAATTTCTGTAAAAGACTGTCTGAACTTTTACTTTAGCTAAATTTATTTACAGTGCATTTGCATGTTAAAACTTCTAATTATATGAAATTTACACACATTACGTATTTTCAAAACCATTTTTCATCAAAAATTAATATCATTACCTACTTTATTAAATACACGTCTATCTAAATAACACGGGGGAAATTTTTTTAGTGCCTTTATACAAAAGTAAATGATTTTATCTTACCTAATTCGATCATGGGGATTTCGAATCTTAAATTAGTTTTGTTCGGAAAGCTACAGATTGTTTTTCAAAATGGCATTTTTAGTTTAGTTTATTTTCGTCAGAATTCACAAATTTATAAAGATATAAATTTGTACATTATATAGCATAGTAGTGCTTATATGCTTGTAGACATAGATATACACGCATCTGCTCCTTTGAAAATAACATTGAAACATATATTACGTATCGCATCATAAACTGTAATATTTTATCACTTTCGTCCTACAATGCCCTACGTACCAGAGATGTGAGACACTTAGTATTCAATCGAGTGAAATTTAAAAAATCTTGTTTCGCTCTATATTATTAAATTGTATAAAAATTGCAGCTTGAGCTGGAAACCGATTGTAGTTTTGAAATCATCGAGGCGAAAAGATCTAAGGTCTGCAACATAAAGGAAAAAAATTTTACAGTGTAATTAACAAAAAATGCATATTTAGTTTTTACATTTATAAAATGAATTTTTTGTAAACAAATAGTAATGACAAATAAATCAAAAAGCTTCTGAAAATTTTAATTTTTGAGCTTTAGTTTTTACTTTGTAATGTTTCCAAGCATTGTTGTTTATATACACTAAGCAGTTCTGCATGTATTTTTATTTTTTATTTTTTTTACAAATTGTTAATATTGCTAGTTATCACTCATCTATTTAAATAGTAAACAAAATTAAAAAAAATTATTAATAACATGTTAAATTATCAGAATAAGTTTAGTGAATAATATTGTTATAATATATAAAAGCATGTTAGAAATTTTTTTTTTTCAATAGGGTTTTTGTTATTCTTCTAACGTTTGGGTGAAATGAAAGCCCAGTTGTAGTGAAATTTCAAATACGTCTCTTAAAGTTGCGATAAAACGTAATTTGACTATACCTGCCCTCTGTAGAAAGATACTGTTAAATAAACTTTGATATAAATATGTATCACGATCAGGAATTGACTAGATGAAAGAGGGAATGTTTGATGCTACTAATTTTTCTTTTGAGACCTTCATTTGTTGTTGTTATCATCCTTCAGGTAATCTTTGCGCTTCAGCATGGCGAAGTGAGTAAGATGAAGCCCACCTTTCTTTTTGTAGCCCCGCTCTAGAGTTCCCGTCATGCTGTATCCTTGTCGAAAGTCTGATTGACTCACGTGCGTTGTCAGATACATTCTGAAAACAATAACAATCTAATCATAATCTAATCATAATCAATACTATAATAATAAATTAAAAGTAAAATGATAACTATTTATAACAAATTAAACTAATAAGTGCTTGGACACCCATGCAATTGATGATATATCTACGGTCCTGATCTGCGTTACATGGGTTGTATATTTTGTAGAAAACCGCATTGACATTATTGGCAAATAAAATACCACGAAATTCAGAACTATCTGACTTCGAGAAAGGCGCAATTGTTGGATATCTTAGAAATGGTCGATCCTCAATGACCGATCTAGTGAGTTAAGCACATCAAAATATTAAGTGTGACTTATTTGATTATCCAGTGGAAGGTTAGTTTTCACTGTCGAAATGTGCTTTCACCCGGCAGACCCTCAGAACTAACTAATAGAGACCAATCAGTTGAGGTGGTGCAAGGTACGTCAATATATATATATATATGAGCAATTCTACAAATAAACGCCAGTTAGGCGGCCAAAAAAAAAAAAATTTTTTTTAGAAGGCACACTATTTCTACATGAATTTTCTTCTTCTTTACACCCTAAAAAGGCGAGAAAAAATCGTGAACATGAAATTTTTTCTTTGTGACATACTTTAAATGTGACATACTCTTTCTGACATACTCAGATAAATCTGAGCCGTTTATTCAGATAAAACGATTTTTACATAAATATAATATTATTATAATGTCTCTCTAATATGTATTTATAGAGATTTCATACTATAAGATTATATTTTAGTATAAAAAACAAAAATAAAAAAATTTAATCAAAGTTCGTAAATTGAAAAAATCGGGAAAAATTCAAAATTGGTATTTTGTCATTTAAAGTATGTCACAAAGAAAAAATTTCATGTTTAATATTTTTTCTTGCTTTTT